CCTTAGTGTAGATGCCTGCCAACAAAGCCTTCAAACCGCTTGAGATAGTGTGGAAGAGCAGCTCAAGCAGTTGGATCACAACATCAAGAACACACCTTGGACCCAAATTCTGCGCACTATTCCAACACTTTTGAAGGCGTTTGACCTCAATACCACCATACAGAGCAAAATCTGTTGTCCATTCTGCTGTGCTATGCACCCTGTACCACCCCAAGACCAAATCAATGTCCATCAACTGTGCAATCATCCTTGATTTACCTCAAAGACCTCTGTGAAAGACCCACAAAAATCTTGCAATCAACCACTTTATGAGACATTGTGAGGTAAAAAAGTCCAAAAATCATCTAGACTTTTTTTATCAGTCAGTACAGTCATGGCTTGGCAAGATGCTCAAGCTTTCCGCTTTCAAAACTGCCTTGGATGCCTCTCTCAACCGCACCCCGCCGGCCAATCAACAAATGGATGACATATGGGATGGTAGCTTATGGAAAACCTTCTGAAATTTCAGGCTCTGTATTCACTGCTGTATCGGGGAGCCTTGTTTTTGGACTGTGGTGCAACTGGTTCAATCCAAACGGCAAAGAAGCTAGAGTCAAGACCTCTGTTGGTGTTATGCTTTTAACTTGTTTCAATTTGCCTCCTCCAATTTGTTACAAAAGAGAGAATATCTGCCTTTACGGAATCATGCCAGGTCCCTCAGAACCTCCCACAACAGAAATGAATCACTTCCTCAAGCCCCTGGTTGAAGAGATGAAAGAGTTTTGGCAAGGCGTCAACTTCAGTTCAACCTCCAAACATCCTGTAGTCGGCCAAACCATTGATGCAGCCATCTGGCCCATCCATGGGGACGCCCCAGCAATGAAAAAGGTCACCGCCTTCACCGCACACTCTTCCAGACACTTTTGTTCAATCTGTCAAATTACCAACACAATATATCACTCTCAGTTTCCGGCACCCAAATGTCCTCACCAAACCTCATTGGAGGTAAAGCTTCAAGCACAAGCATGGGGACAAGCCACCACTGCCCACGATCAAAATGTGCTTGCAAAAAGCAATGGAGTACAATATACTGTCCTTCATGAGCTGCCTTATTGGAAGTCGGTAGAATTCTACACTGTTGATATTATGCACAACATCTTCCTTGGCCTCTTTAAAGACTTTTCCACAAATTATCTGAAAGTGCCAGCCGCAGGCAAGGCTCTGGAAGCTGAAAAGGAGAAAATGGAATTCAGTAATAGAGTGTACAATGTTCAGCTATCTAGGCCAACAACACCCAGTACTGCAACTCCTGATCCACAAGTGCCATCAGTTCCAGCTTCTCCGCCAAAACCAACTTCACAACATTCCTACGGAACACAATCAGCAGCATCCAATCTCCATCATCAAGGGTCTTCTTCTGCTGGATCAGATGGTACAATCAAGGGTAAAAAGAAAGCAAGCCGGACCCCATCACCATTACCACCTCCACCCTTACTCAACCTGGGATCCGACCCAACGGATCCCCTGACGGATCCTGGGGTCGGGGAGTCGGCTAGAAGCTTGGAGACCCCCGTGAGTCGGGTATCTGGCCGGTTCTGGGGTCAGATGTGGATCAGGATGATGTGATGTTACACTGGATATCTGA